TTCAGGAAAACCCAGCAGCTCAAGGGCTTACTAAGTACTTAGATTCTTTCTAATTTCAAACTTTGCCACACTTATCATGTTAGTATTTCCCCCAGATGACTGTCATCTTTCAAGTGTCACATTCTCACATCACCACATTTGTACTTGTCTGTCTTAAAAAGCAAACAAAATCTTCCAAGAAGCCTGTAAATAGGCTTCCTCTCGGGTCTCCTTGGCCAGAATCACAACCCCCACTTCTTAAGTCAATAACAGGCAAAGATAATGGAATGACTATGATTGGTTCGGACCACTGGTTCCCGATCCCTCCAAACCAACTTCTTCTTACATATCAAGTATTTTTTTTTTTTTTGAGGCGGAGTCTCACTCTGTCACCAGGCTGGAATGCAATGGCATGATCTTGGCTCACTGCAACCTCCACCTCCCAGGTTGAAGTGATTCTTCTGCCTCAGCCTCCCAACTAGCTGGGATTACAGACACCCACCACCATGCCCAGCTAATTTTTGTATTTTTAGTAGAGACGGGTTTTCACTTTGTTGGCCAGGCTGGTCTCAAAATCCTGACTTCATGATCTACCCTCCTTGGCCTCCCACAATGCTGGGATTACAAAGGCATGATATTACCGGCCACAAATCAAGTATTTTATAACACTCCTCTTTCCCAAAATGAAAATCAAAAACAATATAACCTGCCCCTATACACACATTAAAAATATAAATTAATATAAGACCTAACCAGAATAGAAAGGTAAAATAAAGGTAATTTATAAAAAAGGATAGGTATATGCATTTTAATATATATAGTAAATTGTATTACAAGTTTTACTTATTTCCTGCTTTCCCACAATAGAATTATACATCCCAGCCTGTTGGCTTGTAATTTACAGTGCCTCTTATGACGTGAATGGAAATGTCATATCTAAGAAGAAGATGTGTGACTCTGCCGTAACAACAGCATGTCTCAGATAGGGGTTGCTCCTTTAGCCTGGCTCTCAGAATAAAAAAGATATGTGGAACAGGAGCAGAGCAGCAACTGATGTATAATGTAAACAAGAAATAAATTTTTGTTGTTGTAAGCCATTGAGATTTTGAGGTTTTTTTGTTATTGCAGCAAAACTTATCAAAAGCTGACTAATGTAATATGGTACAACAATATTCTAGCATATAAAGAAGTAGTCTTCACTTTATGTATGTTTTCACTTATATGTAATGTTATCATGATCCAGCAGCTCCAGATGGACATGATACAATTGTATTGTATGAAGACATTCAGAAACCAAGAGGACATTTCTATTAGTGAAATGATTTTCTGCAACGGTGAACAATTCTTTTTTTTTTTTGAGTCAGAGTTTCGCTGTTGTTACCCAGACTGGAGTGCAATGGCACGATCTTGGCTCACCGCAACCTCCACCTTCTGGGTTCAAGCAATTCTCCTGCCTCAGCGTCCAGAGTAGCTGGGACTATAGGTGCGCACCACAATGCCCAGCTAAGTTTTGTATTTTTAGTAGAGATGGGGTTTTACCTTGTTGACCAGGATGGTCTCGATATCTTGACCTCGTGATCCACCCACCTTGGCCTCCCATTCACCGTGCCTGGCCAATGGTGAACAATTCTTAGTGAAACTGTGAGTAAAAAAAAGGCATCCCTCAATTACATAATAGTTTATATTCTTGGCAAATACCATCTATAGGAAAATGGGGCAAAATTAGTTGTTGCTGGACTCATAAAGAGATGCTTTACCTACATGAATAGAAGTCATGCATCTATTTATGTTACATTCAAAAACAGGCAAAATGTATGCATGTTGTTAGAACACACATAGGTATATGATTGGAAGGAGGCATTAGGGTGTGTTCAGTTTGTGAAGATTCATCGAACTGGGCCAGGCAAGGTGGCTCACGCCTGTAATCCCTGCACTTTGGGAGGCCAAGGTGGCAGATCACAGGAGATGGAGACCACCTGGCTAACATGGTGAAACCCCGTCTCTACTAAAAATTCAAAAATTAGCTAGGCATGGTGGCATGCGCTTGTAATCCCAGCTACTGGTGAGGCTGAGGCCCAAGAATCACTTGAACCCAGCAGGCAGAGGTTGCAGTAAGCTGAGATGGTGCCACTGTGCGCTGTCCTGTGCAACAGAGCAAGACTCCCATCTCAAAAAAAAAAAAGATTCATAAAATGTACACTTCTGTGTGTTTTTCCATGTATATATATATTTTTTTTTGAGTACCAATAAGTCTTTATTTATTCATTGTACTTTTCCAGGGAAAGGAGAAGGGAAGGGAAGAGTCAGCATGTGTTAATAAATGATTAGAAAATGGGAAAGGAAATAGCCAGTACAGCAAAATCAACCATCAAATAAACGCACCTCAGTGATGGGGTCACCAAAGCCCAAAGGGGCTTGATCTCCTGCAGTTTAGGAATGAGGGAAAGGGATCAGGAAAAGAACAGACAGGTACAGGCTCTCCTACCCTCCCTCCCATAAATTCAAGATTTTACACAAAGCTTTGGTTTCTAGCAGTAAACATGGAGTTACATTCATTCGTCTCTTATTAAACAATCTTGTGGCCACTTTGACATAAGTTTCTAGCACTTGCATAAAAGTTTCTGAGTGACTTGGGTATACATTCATATTCCCTTTCTTGGCCTCCTGACCCCACTTTCTATATGGAAGGCCCCCAGTTGTATCTCTCTACTTTAGGATTAAAAATTAAGTAAGTTTGATCCATCTAAAATACAGCAGTGTCTTTTTTTGTTTTTGTTTTTTGAGACAGAGTCTTGCTCTGTCACCCAGGCTGGAGTGCAGTGGCACGATCTCAACTTATTGCAACCTCTATCTCCCAGTTTCAAGTGATTCCCCTGCCTCCGCCTCCCGAGTAGCTGGGATTACAGGCACACACCACCATGATCGGCTAAATTTTTGTATTTTAGTAGAGATGGGGTTTCACCGTGTTGGCTGGGATGGTCTTGAACTCCTGACCTTGTGATCCACCCACCTCAGCTGCCCAAAGTACTGGGATTACAGGCATGAGGCACCACGCCCAGCCTACAGCAGTGTCTTAAGTGTTTGTCATGAATACATCAAGAAATGTTCGGCCGGACATGGTGGCTCACCAAAACAAACATATTGGTCTTGATTCAGGAGGCTGGAACAAGGAATGGAGGGTTTCTAGCTTCTTCTGGATTTTTGCATACATTGTTTAAAAGTTGTGGAGACACTCCAAACATTAAATGTGTATGAGTGTGGGTGTGTAGGTTTTCTTTTGGGGGTGAACAGAAAAGAGGGCAGGGTGGAAGACACATTTTTAGGACAGAAGATCTGGTCTGATAGGTAAAGAGGAATACAAAAGAAAGGATGGTTCAAGATCCCCACTTTATGAAGAGGGTACCACAAACTAATGTTTCAGATCTTTTTGCCTGCTGCAGAACATTCTGTCAAAGATGCGTTGGCTATTTTTCTCTCAATACAAAAAGAAGTTTGTAAACAAAACCCCAAAGAACACGGAGAAAGACCAATACATTATATTTACACAAACTAGACCACCTAGCAATCACCAAATTAGTGAAGTCCTACAAAGCCCAGACAAATACAATAACTAGAGGGCGGCAGCATTTAGGGGAGACAAGAACCCAGGATCAGACACACACCACCCAATGTGTTCTATTGCATTTGTCCGTTTCAACACAGGGAGGTAGGTTTGCGGTGATCTCACAGCATGTAAACGAAACCCCCTTTCTCCTTTAGCCACCGTGACACTAGCAGTCACTACTGCAGCAGGGCAGGACACCGGCCCCAGGCACCACAAAGCCCTGCTCGTGTGTCTTCCTGGAACCCAAGAATTTTGACAGGTTAAGAATTTTAGACCCTACTCCATATAGCCATCCCATGACAGCACAGGATTAAGTACAGGGGTACTGGTCTTAAAACTTACCCTTACCAACTCCTGTTTTATGACACACACACACCCTGTTGTGCATGGTAGGCCTCGTCTAATCTGGTGAAGAATGGATCTGGGATGTAAAGCCCGTCTTGTGCTCTAGGATTAGACAACCCTCACCTAATCTTGGCTTCCTCTCTGGGCCTTTCACCTGGCCCAGCCTCTCCTAGCCTCTCTGCACCACCATTTCCTGTTTAGACTGATTTCCAATCTTCCAGTAGGAGGCAATCAAGTCATGGGGCAACCCAGTTAAAACCTAGTTTCCCATAAAACATTTTCAAGGCAGGGGGGTTTCAAGAGGACACTATGGCAAAAAGCCAGCTCTCATTGGCAAAAATGAGGTAGTTCAATAGGCTGTGCACTCCAAATAGTTGCTCTCCAAGGTGGCAAAAACAACATAAAGTATTCCTGCTGTGCAGACTTGGAGCTGCTGCCGACTTATCCCTGAGATTGCTCATGTACCTGAGAACACAGTGCAGGAAATGAGGGCCTTAGATTAAAATATACAAAAATACAAAACCAGAATATTTATATTAAGGAAAAAAAAAGTTAAAATGCACAAGATACGTCATTCGCACACAGCTAGTGCAGTTGGCATCCTGGAGAAAGTGGGACCCAAGGTGCAGTATCCAAGGGAGCAAATAAATAAAATCACATTGACCCAGAATGGGGCGGGGTGAGTGTCGGAGCAGCAGGACTGCAACTGTTCCCCAAGCACCCCTTTTGCTATCATCACTATCCATTGCTTGGGACAGTTGCCAGCACCCTATCCCAAAAGTGGGTATGAGGATATAAGATGTGGAAAAAAAAAACCCTGCCTGATATTCCTGAGAGATTCGCTTCCACAGAATGTAGTGGCTTGGCTCCATGAATCTGGTCTTATGCTTAATCATTTCACTCTGGCATGGGAATTATTATTATTATACCTCCTTCTTTAAAAGGAAAACAACTTAGCTATCCAGGCCACTTTCAAAAGCTGGAAATTCTGGGGATGGAGCCTCAGATAAAGCGTGCAGGTGTTGTAGGGTGATTCCCTCCTCCTGGTCACCCCCGGAACCCTCACTTGCATTTGGACAGAGCATGGATGGAGTTCCTTTGTCTCATCCTTTCCCCCGACTTAGAAGGAAGAAAGGGTAATGGTGTGAACCCCAGCCTGAGATATATGGCAGTGCCAACTAGCCCCAATGCACCCTATTCCCACTTTCTCCACTTTGCTCCTCAAAACTTCCTGATAGCAAAAGAATAGCCCCCCCACCCACTGGGGCTCAATTCTGGGCCTCCGGGAACAGGGCAGGGTTGTGGATTTCTTCTTCTTCCTCCTGAAAGTATGTTGGCTTTCCCTGTGCGCTAGGGGCCTGCTGGGCCTTCAGTGGACATGAGGCTACCATATGGCTGATGCTCTGGCAGAAGTGGCACTTCTTGGGCTGGGGTGGCAGCTTGCATTCCTTGGCATGATGGTCTAGACCTCCACAGTTGTAGCACCTGTCTGCTTTTGATCTGTGCTTCTGCATGTTCTTCCCCTTTGGCCGCCTCTCACTCCCAATACAGAACACCCCACCAGGTCCAGTGACACGGATGGATTCGAGACCCTTGGCTGACTTCTTAAAGGTGAACTCCATGGCCTCACCTTCCTTCAAGCTCCGGAAGCCCTTCATGTGCAGCTTACCCTGGTGCACAAATACTTCCACTGGGGGATTGAGCGCGTCCCCGGCGCGGGCGATCATGGACAGGAAGCCGAACCCCATGTGCACGTTCAACCATTTACAGATGCCTGCACGGTGCAGCAGCTGAGGCTCGTCCGCCACCCGGGCCGCATCCTCCTGCGCCTCCTCCGGCGCCTCTTCTGCCGCCTTGGCGCAGCCACCTGCAAACTGTTGGTTGGACACGGAGCCCATGGTAGTCGGCTGAGCCCGTGGCCCCGGGCCCCTAGTCGGGCGGCTGCTGGCCCCAGAGAAGTCCGAAGGCAAAGGCCCATGTATATGGTTTTTAAATTTTGTTTTGTTTTTGAGAAGGAGTCTCACTCTGTCACCCAGGCTAGTACAATGAAAGGCACTGAGGGCCAGAAAAAAAAAAAAAAAAAAATGCATGCTGAATTAAGCTGAACAGGAACACAGCTTTTAAATCTCACAAATCAGCGACCCAATATTCAAAATCTTTTAACTGGCTGAGACCTGTAGTTGTCATCTGGGTAATATAGAGCTTCCTATCAAAGCTTCAGTTGTGAGTTAAATGTACCTCCCTTTATTTTAATAGGATTGCATCCTGAACTGGGCTTAGGGAAGGAAATGAAGGTGTTTGGCTTCCCTGAGCTTCCCCAAGTCACCATGCCTGGGTCCTGTCAATGTGTACATAGAATAAAATACAATCAACAAGGCGGTGGGGGAGGAGGGCTGATAGCAGCTTGGCTTTAGCATAGCCAAGATGGAGCAGGTGGGACCAGGTGATATTTCAGTTATAATTCAGTGAGCATTTATGAGTGTCTACTAAGTGCTGGCTACTATGAGAGTCGCCGATATTGATTAATAAGAATCTTGGCTAGACATGGCGGCTAACACCTGTAATTCCAGCATTTTGAGAGGTCGAGGCGGGTACATCACCTGAGGTCAGGAGTTCGAGACCAGCCTGGCCAACATGGTAAAACCCCGTCTCTACTAAAATTGCAAAATAAATTTAGCCAGGTGTGGTGTTGCATGCCTGTAATCCCAGCTACTTGGCAGGCTGAGGCAGGAGAATCATTTGAACCTGGGAGGTGGAGGTTCCAGTGAGCTGAGATCAGGCCATTACACTCCAGTCTGGTAACAAGAGTGAGACTCGATCTCAAAAAAAAAAGTTTCTCCATTTCTGTAATGAAGGAGGTGATGTATGTGTCCAGGTACCAGGAGGGAGGTGCAGATGGGAGTTCAGAGACAATGTCTTTGGGTATGGGTCTCTCTGCCAAGCCTAGATGTCCTGACTGTGGTCTGCTGTGACTACCTATCTCACTCACTAGATTTAAAATTCCTTGTGGACAGGGACCGTATCTCATTCGAATTAACTGCTTCACACAGTGCCCAGTCCCTTGGGGCCAGGCAAAAATGTGGAACGAATCGCTAAGCAGTGACCTCTTCTCCCTCCTTAAAACTCCACCCCTGTAATTATAAGCCTGTTTCTTCTGCTTCTGAATGCCTTGCAGCCCCAGGTTCCCAACTGTCACGCCCCCCCCGGGCTGGTTCCATTTTTCCCGGTTGGTTTGAGGTGTAATCCCTTGCTGCTCCGCCGCCAGCACCAGCCCTCCCTCCCTCCCACAACATCCCCACCCTTCCTGCTGAGCATTGCGCGGTAGCAGCTCAGCCTAGCCCTTCCTTTAATGGCTAGTGCTTTAGTGGGAGGTTCTGAACTAGGGTTAAAACACAAAAAGCTCTCCCCTTCCCCCAGTTCTAGTGTTGGTTCCTCCAGTTCTGATGTTCCGGTAGCTGTATTCCTAGATTCCGCCTTTGTTTTAAGCTCCAGAAGAAAGCCTTCCGGAGATTTTGTGACCTCACCTAATTTCCAACATTCCAGATTGTCTTTCCTTTCTCCCAGACTTTAAAATCACTGTTCTCTCCTGACTCAGCTAGTAGGAGGCCAGAAGGGACCAGTGGGGCTTTCGAAGCTTGTCGAAACGAAACCCTGCTCTTTTGAAAAAGCATTTTCCAACCAACTTGGAGACAAAGTGGGGTTACATTTTTACACGGATTGCTTACGAGCAAGTTAAGCGGCTAACAAGCCATGAAATCGGAGAAGCAGGTAAAGCCAAAATTGGAAAGTCCCTCCAAGTCAGCCCGTTCTGTGACCCACCTCCTCCCCTTTGCGGCAGGAACTCGATTCTATCGAGGGGGGCTTTGCTGCAGCGGCACAGCCCACGCATACTCAACTAAGAGACTCAGACCACGCCAGCCATGCCACGAGGTGTGTTTTATTTTCATTATTCATACAAATAATTTTCTATAATATCCCGGGGCAGACCGGAGAATTTGGCAGTCCGATTGGGGGGGGTCCCTTCAGAGACCCACAGGCCGGTGGCATCGGCGCGGAGTGCCCAGGTTCACAGTGCAGCTTGTGGCTCGTGTCCATCTTGCAGGTGGCTCTTCCTCCACATCAGGACTAGGGTCTCGAAGATGACGGGGGCAGGAAATCCTCCAGGCTCTTAGGAAATTTCACTCCGCTTCTCCTGCTCAATGGCTGTGGAGGGCGGGAAGCGGGCGCTGCAGGGGGGGTTGCAACCTCCACCCGCAACCGAGGTGCGTCCCAGTGTGGGCGAGGCACCCACGAGGTGTGGGGATTTAGAAGGAAGCTTGGGGCTGGGGAGATACAAGGCTCTTTGTGAAACTGAAGGGGTGGCCGCGGTCTCCCAGACCCGGGGCAACGGCCGGATCGGGGGTGGAGGAGTGGGTTTGCAAGGGAATGGCAGGGCAAGGGGCTGGGCTGGGGCGCGGGAGACCGAGGCACACTCACTCTCTTTGGTCGGCAGGGTGTTCTTCTCCTGCGTCTCCGTTTTCTTCAGCTTGGCCTTATCGAAGCTGGCGATTTCTCCCATATCTGGTTTGTCTGCCATTTTCTAAAAACAATCCTAGTGGACAAACCAAGGCGCTTGACCTGGGGCTGGAGGCCAGCGTCCCCCTCCGCACTCCCCGCCGACGCCTCTCGACGTGGCACTCACGCCAAGGCGTGCCTGGCAGCCCCAAGGCCGAGGATCTGGGCGCGTCCAGCACCCTCCTCCTGGGTCCCAGGGCGTGGTTGCCGGCCCCGGCGTCCAGTCCGAGAAGGGCGCCCGTCGCAGTTGCTGCACGCCCGCCGGGTGCACCGGATCCGACCCCACCCCGGGTGGGCCCCCAGCCCCGGCGCCGCGCTCACCGTACGGTCCCGCTCCAAGATCGGGCTCCCGGTGCTCCCACTCGCTTTGCTGCAGCAAGAGACAAAAGAGCGGCGCCCGCCCCTAGCCTTATATACGCCGCGCCCCGCCCCGCCCCTCACCCGCCGCAGCGGGGGCGGTGCTGGCACCCGAGGGGCGGGGGCAGCGCGGGCGGCTCCTCGCCCTGACGCGCCCTCCGCTGGGCTGCCAGCCCGGCTGGGCGCGACTTCTCCCGCGCCCAGCACCCCCGGCTCGCTGTGTGCCCGGCGTGGGGGCTGTAGGCGCCGCCACGGTGGGCGCCAGGCCCCCGGGTTTGCTTTTGCGGCTGCATTTTCCTCTTTCCGGGAATCTGCTGCTCACCCCGCAGAAAGGATGTGGGGACCCGTGGGGGAGGGTGTGTGGTTTTGTGTGTGCAGATGTGATGTGTAGCCGTGGGTGTGGATGTGCGGGCGTGCACGCGCGCTCTGCAGCAATCCTCGCTCTAGGAGACGCCCCACCCCTGTCGCCCCCATGCCTCTTGCTTTTGCTCCTCCAGAGTCCCCTTTCCTCACCCGCTTTTCCTCTCCTTAGGGAGGCTGAGTCCTAGTGTAGCCCTTCACTAAAAGAATGCGAGCCGAGGGTCTAGCGGTGGAGCAGGGGCGGGGGTTAGGTTTCCATTGCTCTTGGGCGGTTGCCCTCTGGTCGGTAGTCCTCTGTTCCCTGAACTGGGCGTTTCCAGCAGGATCGTTGGCGTGGCGGGTGCTCTTTAAATGCTGTTAGATACATTGTGTGAAGGGCTGTGGTGGGAACACGGCGTCCTGAGAATGCTTGCAGTGTTCCTTTTCTCGCCGGGCTCCTAGGAACACTGTATCAGCGGGTGCGGTTTTCCTCCTTGAAGTTAACCTTGAGGATAATAGGGATCCACATACCTACAAACGGTCTTGTTTTTCTTATTAACCCATTGTAGGAGTGGTATACCGCAATTATTCACATCTTTCTTAGAAAAGTTGTATTTTCAGCCTGGCAACACCGTTAATAAGTTCCTTAAATTACCAGCCCAGGAGGTAAGGCTGGTCATTCTTTAATTTGTTCTGATCTTTTTTTTTTTCAAGTGTGAAGTATTACCAAACTCTTTAAAGTGGGATTTGGTGGTAACATCCTAAATTCGGTCCTGATTTTATTTCACTTATTTACTTTTTTTGAGACAGGGTCTCACTCTGTTACCCAGGCTGGCGTGCAGTGGTGTGATCACGGCTCATGGCAGCCTGGACTTCCCAGGGGCAAGTGATTCTTCCACCTCTGCCTCCTGAGTAGTTGGGACTACGGACGTGTGCCACCACCAGCGGCAAATCTTTTGTATTCTTTTTGCAGAGACGGGATTTCACCATGTTGCCCAGGCTGGTCTTAAACTTCTGGGTTTAAGCCATCCACCTGCCTTAACCTCTCAAAGTGCTGGGATTACAAGCCTAAGCACTGTCCCTGTCTTCTCCCGTCCTGATTTTGTCTGCTTTTCTCACCTTCTCTCGGTGTTTGGAACAGTGGGAAGAAAACTTAGGCTTGTGTGAACTTGGGCAAATTTTTTCTTTTACCGAGTCTACTGTTGCCGGGGCTGGAATGTGGTGGCCCGATCTCGGCTCACTGCAACTTCTGCTTACCAGATTCAAGCAATTCTGCCTCAGCTTTCTGAGTAGCTGAGATTACAGGCATCCACCACCACACCTGGCTATTTTTTTTTGTATTTTTAGTAGAGACGGGGTTTTGCTATGTTGGCCAGGCTGGTCTCCAATGCCTGCACTCGTGATCCACCCGCCTAGGCCTCCCAAAGTGCTGGCGTTACAAGTGTGAGACACTGAGCCTGGCCGGCACCTTAGTTTCTTCATTTATAAAATAGCCTTGTCATAAACTTAAATGAGATAAAGAACAGGCATCAAGTGGATACTTTCTTTCTTTTTTTTTTGAGGCAGAGTCTCTGTGTAGGGGTGGGATCACAGGTCACTGCAGCGTTTATTTATTTATTTTTGAGACAGATCTCGCTTTGTTGCCGAGGCTGGAGTGCAGTGGGACGATCTCAGCTTAATGTAAACTCTGCCTCCTGGGTTCAAGTGATTCTTCTGCCTCAGCCTCTCAGATAGCTGGGATTACAGGCACATGCCACCATGCCCAGCTAATTTTTGTATTTTAAGTAGAGACTGGGTTTCACCATGTTGGCCAGGCTGCTCTCAAAATCCTGACCTCAGGTGATCCACCCGGCTTGGCCTCCCAAATTGCTGGGATTACAAGTGTGAACCACTGTGCCTGGCCTCAAGTGGATACTTAAAATAACAGCCTCATTAGAATATCACACTCATGGCCAGGCACGGTGGCTCACGCCTGTAATCCCAGCACTTTGGGGTAGGCCAAGTCTGGAGGATCACCTGAGGTCAGGAGTTCGAGACCAGCTTGCCAACATGGAGAAACCCTGTCTCTACTTTTTAGCAGAGAAACCCTGTCTCTACTTTTTATACAAACTTAGCTGGGCATGGTGGTGCATACCTGTAATCTCAGCTACTTGGGAGGCTGAGGCAGGAGAATTGCTTGAACTTGGGAGGCAGAGGTTGCATTGAGCTGAGATTGTGCCATTGCACTCCAGCCTGGGCAAGAAGAGTGAAACTCTGTCTCAAAAAAAAAAAAAAAAAAAAAACAAACAAACTATATCACACTCATATTTGATGAATGCAAAAATTATTTATTCTTGTTTCTGTATTGGCAGGTCAGATGGTGCTGGGCTAAGCCAGGCTGGGGTTTGCTCTACAGGTACCTTATCCTCTGGCAGATTCTTAGGTGGTGGCAGAATAGCAAGAGGGTTGTACTGCAAGATAGTGTAGGAATGCTACAGTGTCAAAGCATGCCATATCCTGTCATGTTTCCCACCAGCCTAGGGGGGACATATTCCACCTAAGGTAAGAGAGGGAGGGTAGTGAACATTTCTTGAATGAAAATGGAACTTCAGAGTCAGTGTGAGCAAGCAAGTGTAACACACAGCCCCCAAAGTGGCTTAATGCAATACAAGTTTATTTTCTACTTATGCAGCAATATTCTATGTTGATGTTGCTGGTCAGGCAATTCTTTTCCATGTAGTGACTCAGGAACTCAGGCCCCTTCTCTCTTGTTACTCTGTTCTTCTCTAAGTCCTTGGAGTCCACACCAACCAGCCATTGGATGGGGAAAGAGGAGAGGCTAGAGGACCACGCTAGAGTTTCTATGGATCAGGCTTGGAAGTAGTCTCCATTACTTCCGCTCTCGTTTCTTTGGCCAGAGCTCATTCATGTGGTTTCACCTAACTACAGGGGAGGCTGGGAAATGTAGTCTAGCTGTCCCTAGGAGAAAAAGAAAGCAGGGTTGGGAGGACTTGGAGCAGTCTCTGACATACACTGTTGAAGGATCTGCTAAATCGAATGTAAAAATATCCAGATTTTCAGATAGTGACTCTTTGGAGGGTTTCATTGGCACTTGACTACTTTTCTGTTGCAATGCCAAGCATTGTTTAGGTATGATTATAATACATTCCTGGCCCCACCTTTGACCTGGATGTAAGAACATTCAATTGTACCAATTTGGACCCATGGTGAACTTCCATTCCAACTTCCTTTTATTTAGAAAACAAAGGAATCAACTTCTAAATATAGCTATGGAGACATATGTTTGGAGACAGAGTAAGTATGCAAGACTCCTAAACAAAGGCACTTTGAGCAGACTTGCAGGCATTCCTTATTCTTGCTCAGTGCAGCCCTGTGGCCCATCTCTAACATAGCAGGCAGCCTGTTTGGCATTCATTGCTTGACAATGGTCAAATCTGTGTCTCATCCAGTTCCACTGGCAGTGGTTTAAAAACATCTGCATATTCTTTGGCATTTTCATACCATTTCTTGAGTACAGACTGGCCTTAGTGACTTTCTTTTTTGTTTTTTTTTTGAGACGGAATTTCTCTCTTTTGCCCAGGCTGGAGGGCAGTGGCACGATCTCGGCTCACTGCAAACTGCACCTTCTTGTTTCTAGCAATTCTTCTGCCTCAGCCTCCTGAGTAGCTGGGATTACAGGTGCCCACCACCATGCCCGGCTAACTTTTGTATTTTTAGTAGAGATGGGGTTTCACCTTGTTGGTCAGTCTTGTCTTGAACTCCTGACCTCGTGATCCACTCACATTGTCCTCCCAAAGTGCTCAGATTACAGGCATGAGCCACCAGGCCCAGTCGTGACTTTGTTTAGTGAATAACGCTTGGAAGGAATGATGCTTTGTGACTTCTGAGACTAGGTCGTAAAAGATCACATGGTTCTGCCTGACATTCTCTCAGGATGCCTTTAAGTTCTGAGAAAACCAAGCATCTACAAGGAAAGACCACATGTCAGCATTCCAGCTATAGCCTCAGCTGAGGTCAGAGCCATCAGCCAGCATCAACCACTAACCACGCAAGTGAATGAGCCTTCGAAGCTTAAAACTGCCCCAGGTTGAGGCAGAGGTTGTGGTCAGCTGAGATCATGCCATTGCACTCCAGCCTGGGCAACAAGAGCAAAACTCCATCTGAAAAAAAAAATGCTCCAGGTAATGCTGAGTGGACTGGAGATGAGTTGTCCCTGCCCAAATTGCAGACTCATGAGCAAAATAAATGTTGTAGTTATTTTTATTTTTATTTTTTTTTTGAGATGGAGTCTCTGTCACCTAGGCTACAGTGCGGTGGTGTGATCTCGGCTCACTGCAACTTCTGCTTTCTGGTTCAAGCAATTCTCCTGCCTCAGCCTCCCCAGTAGCTGAAACTACAGGCATGTACCACTGCACTTACTCACGTTTGTATTTTTTTTTAGACATGGGGTTTCACCATGCTGGTCAGGCTGGTCTCAAACTCCTGACCTCGTGATCCACCCCTCTTGGCCTCCTAAAGTGTTGGGATTACAGGCATGAGCCACTGCACCTGGCCCTGTTTTAGTTGTTTTAAGACACTAAGTTAGAGATTGTTTGTTACACAGCATTAGATAACTGGAACACCATGAGGTAGATAAATCATAACCTGGTGGTTCCAGGGTCTCAGAACTCATTTGGGCACTTTTTTCCTATATACTTAATGTAACACACATATACTTATTCAATAAATGTTTATTGAATGCTCACAAAATGTCTGGCAGCATTCTGTGAAAGAGACAATGAA